GAACGAGGCGTCACTTTACAAAGTCGTGTGAAATTAAAGCAGCAGATAGGGTATTTGATAGCCAATCAAGTGGATTCTCTTACTTGCTACCTCCAAAATGTGAAAATGTTTACATAATAAACGTTAGAGTTTCTTGTAATCTTTTGGAGACAATTAAGGTTTTAGCTCGCGAACCCGTGTGCAAGATAACAATGAGCTAAAGAGCACCAGACTGCGGCGAAATGTACTTCTCTTAATCGATATTAAGTACGGTATTTCAAATATAGAACAGATGTTTGAACAATGCTTTATCTTAATTGCCACTTTGCAGCCTTGACAGATGAATGAATAACGTTACGATACTTAGATCTGCCCCTGAGTTCTTCACGAGCTTTCAAATCGTTCTACATGGTTAGAATTTGCCATGCCTCAGGGCATTATCTTCCGTATTGAACGAATTTAAAATTTCGGTAACACGCAATGATTTCCAAGGTGTTTTTTTGCAACAAGACAATAACCCAAGCAGCGTTACAAAGCAAAAGAAGTCAAAAATATGTTTTTCAAAATTTTAGTAAAACATCACTTCGATGAATATGCTTTCGTGATGTATTTTTCTAAATATAGTTTCGCACTCTTGAGTATTTCCGTCTTAGTAAACAAACCTCGGTTATTAACATATTTTTATCACGTTCTTAGCAAGAAGCGATTGCTCTAGAATTCGCAAAGCTATGTGACTTTGGTTTTAATCGTGATCTGTGACACAAATTTGACGTATGTTGATGGAGTTTTTGAAGAGTTGAACTGATAGCGGAGGAAACACAAAACAGTTTACACTAGCACGTTTGCTCTAAAACCAACCCTGTTCACTCAATATTATTTAAAGTAACCGGCGTAAACCGAACTACTGAAGTAAGAAGTTGAAAATTAAATCACACTGATTCCTTTGCTCTTTAAGAATACTTCATTAAGAGTTGACGTGTTAGTCTGAAAAGAGAGAAGTATTAACTTGAAAACACCTATGATTTATTAGCAATCTCAAGTGTATGAAACGGAGAAATTTCGAGAGATCATTTCAGAGATCATTAGGAAACCATCATAACAACATTTAGCAAAGAAACAAATCATTGGTTACCTAACGAGTTTTCAAACCCCCTCAGAATAAAACATTTATTCTTTCTTAAGACACATTTTGCTACGACATTGTCGCTTACAGCAAAGTAAAATTGTTCAATTAAAATCCTTGCTTTTGATTATAACTCATAATTACGTGATGGTATCCAAAGCTGCTTTCAAGCTTTAACGCCCACAGCTATAAATCTTTATAAATTATATTTAATCTTCACGGGAGATATTTGTTACTCGCTCGTAACCCACAATTTTTTTTTTATATATATTATCATCATTGACCTCATAATACACTTATTTCTGTGAGTGTTTGGCAGATAATAGCTTCAGGCTTTTTATTCAACAACGAAAACTATAATTATTCCCACGGCTTCCTGTTTCTTACCACGGTGTGATCTGGTAAAGTCTACCTCTAAGGAAAGAAGTGTAAGAGGCGAAGAACCAACAAACTTCTAAAAACTCTAAGAACAATTTGGAGAAGAATAATCCTATTTAAAATGTCTTCAAAGGCTGCTATGCCTAATTACCATTCCAACTTAAGATCAAAGAAGGCTTATTAAAATATCTTAGGTATTGACGATAATTTGATTTATTCTGATACACCCGAGTTATTACATTAGAATCCTCCCATAGGCTGTCACCGACGATCTTTGTGGAAGCGCGAGATCTTTCACTTGACTTAAACTGACAAATTTACCATTGAACATTGTTTCACGAAACTCACGTGGGAAGACTTTTACACGGTACCAAGACAGAGACGCAAAGGATAGCGACGAACATAGCCAGCAGACTACTCGATGGGAACTTACATTAACAACCATAATCAGACAACCCGTCATCTCACTTCCGTGGGTCAAGAAATGAAACGCGAGAAACCTGAAAAATATGTCTTCCTCTGGGAACCTGGATAAGAGCAAAGGACTTCTCCAGTCAATGCTGAAGGAATTCATCAAGAAGGATGCTGGTCTTGATGGTGAAGGGCAGTTGACGCCTATAACAGAACTACCCCTAGTTGTTTGCGAAAAGATTCAGCATATTATCGCCGACTCGACTAGGATCACAGAACTAAACTAAACGATGAGTCAAATCATAGAAATCCGTAACATTTAAGAAGTAAGTCCTGTATAATGCATATTTAAACTCTTGATTGTCTAAAAAAAAAAAAGCTCAAGGAAATAGTAATTCAGTGGTTTATAAGTGGTGTTCTGTACGCAATGTTTGCGCCGTATAAAGCATAAATTTACTGAAGAAAGTCGGTCGTTGCTTAAACGCATAAAGACAACGGGTAAAAGTGTTTCAGTAAGGATCGATTCTTTTAGCATGTGAGCACTTTTTTACCTATAGCTATAGACGTAAGGCATCTCCCCCTGAACCCCATCCTACTCTTGTAAAAGCTCCGTAAAAGAGGAAGAGGACTCTTGACTCTGAGAGTTCCGCGCGGCGCGCTTAAATCCATTCCTTTTTCCACTGATTTTTATTTTTACTCGCGCGACAGACTTTTCGCTGAAAAGAACAGACCGCTTGTAGTCTTGTATTCTTCACTTTATTG